GGCTCTTTCTATCTTTATTTCACTAATAAATTAGCCAAATGGGCTCTCACAAAAAGTTGGTAACAAGTTTCCATCGAACAATTAATGTTCTATTTGATTTTTGCAATTGGAATGGTTTGACAGTCACCTCATCCTCCAAATATAGAAGGATGCATCTCCCCTTCTACATTAATATGGATAATCTTGGATATGAAATCAAGTACTTCAATTTATGGACAAATTTTAAAACACCATTATTTAGGTCATAACTCATACTCGATAGAACACAAAATCAAATTTGATATTCTGCTGATTCTAAGATATGTAACATTAATATTCGTTAACGGTTGCTTACTAGTTGAGATATTGATTGAAATGAAAGTTTGACATGACAAAAAAAATTCAGAAGTTTGCCTAAGCAATTTTTAGGTTATCATACTCGTCTTATTCAACAATTCAATGTGTTAAGCACGTAAAATAGCAAATCTAACTAATCAGCAGTTTCATACGAGTCGTGGAGCCAAATCCTCTTAACCAATATCATGTTTAAATAGTTCAAGAATAAAACTTATAATAGCTCTGTCCATAAGGGACAAGGACCATTGTTGTAAGGACATTAATAATTTGGACAGGTAGGAAACATTTCTAGGAAAATATGGACTTTAAACCATGGGTTCAACTTTATTTGTTTGAATATAAGATCAAATAAATGGGGAATTCAAGGTGAAATATTAATACAGGTCCAATTGGTAAGACTTCTGTTTTTGTCCTACTTCTTCAAAAATAGTTTATTGAAAAAGTTACGTTCAAATAAAGTACAAATCACAGGGGCATACCTCCGGAAACTAGGCTAGGAATATATGTCTCCTAACACCAATAACAGAACCCTAAATTAGAGGCCCTCTAACGATGGGTCCGAGGCGGTAGCCTCACTCACCTCTATTTAAAACCAGCCATGTGCACCACAGATTGCTTCAATGGCACTGTGTAGGAAACAGATCCCCACCTTGAAATAACCATCGCTGCGCCGTAGATCCCCACATGATAGTAGCAGCGAGTCGCTTGACTCTACTTATAACAGCAAAGAAGTAAAATCATTGGAAATAAAATTAGAGACGCGACTTATATACCAAGCAGAAGATAATATTGCATCCTGCATATCCTTTCATCTTATTTCACAATACTTCGGGCTTGAAAAATCAAAGATGGGGCTTATCTTGATATATGCTTCTAGAAAGTTTGATAGAAACTGATTCAACCATGGAAGAGGAAAAGTTGATGGAGAATTGGAGATTATGGGCTTAATTTAGGAAAAGTTGTAGTAGTAGGTAGATGGCGGCGGTTGTGCCACAATAACATTACGAGTGTGTTTAATTGCATTTATTTTTAACGAAAATATCAATTTGTAACCCAAATTTCTACTTTGGATTTTTTGATTATTATTTTTTTCCATTGAAAATATATTTTTAAGGAAAATATTTTCTTGGAATAGTAAAAAAAAAAAAAAAAAAAACAGAACCCTAAATTAGGGTTCATATCCTAACAATGACAATAAAAAATATACGTAGAAAAATTTTATGAACGTTGGAGCCATCTATTCTCGTTAAATGGGACCAAACCCTTAGATAAATTCACTCGTGCAGAAACAGAAAAAACAATATCTCGAATAACAGCAGGCTCGTGTTTAGGAGCCTCACCATGGGTCCTAGCATTGCGCTCACTCCATATAGCATAAATCGAAGCAAACATCAACCGAATGACGATGGATTGCATTGACCTCCCACGAAACTGCTCCATCCAAGAAAGAGTATCTGCCCAACTCCGTTGAATCCAATGCAAGTTACATTTTGCGTGCAGAGCATGCCAAACACGCTCAGAAAATGGACAAGCAAAAAACAGACAAAATACTTGTTAAAATTATTCAAACATGTCTTAAAAAATAATTTTTTAGCCTCAAGAACAACTTTTGACTTTTCAAATACTTTGTCAAACGGATATATTGTTTGTCTATCTTCTTATTTAACCTTTTGTACCATTAAGATAAAAAATTTATTCACAAATTAATGTCTAAAACGAAATGCTGCAGCAACCAACCATGTTCACAAACTCGGTATCTTAATGTACTTACAATTTATACAAATAGAAACTACTGAAGTGGTTATTCCATGAATCACAAATTATCTCCTAATAAATAGGATAATACAAATGAATTGCACGGCTAACACCTCAGTAATAATAACTGATTAATCAAAACCTAACCAGAATTGAGAATAAAATAATAATAAACATTTAATTGACAGTAATTTTCCGTCCTCCTTAAGAACACTATTGTCTCTTGTGGCGTTGTGGGGATAGTGGTGGTGGTGGTGGTGGTAGCTGCTGGTGGTGTTTGGGTGGGGATTGTGGGGTTGGGGAACAGTGGCGGAGCCATGTTGAGACTGAAATTTTAGGTCCAAATTTTTTTATTATTATTTTTTTTAATCAACGGGGGATGTGGAGTAAAAGCATGTTTTAATTCACATGGGTTTTATTTTTAGGCTCAAACCTATGATTTTGTTTTATAATTTTATCATCATTAAATTCATGACCAAAACACAATGTTCGACATGGGTTAAATCAGGGGCGGACCCATACCTTTAGTATTGTGGGGTCAAAATTTTAAAAATAATTTTTTTAATAAACAACATAATATCAATGAAAATAAGTTTATATATATTTTGACAATTTGAAAACGTCGTATAATTACATCATTATTAATATTATTAAATAAATTTTGCTACTTATAAAGTTTTGTTTATCATTTCATTGGCAAATGCTGAGTTAACATTGAGTAAATTAAATAAAATATAAAAATTAAATGAATTGAAATAAAATTCAAGTTTTGTTCTGGAAGTAAATGAAATTCAAATTTAAAACAAATATAATTCGAAAGTAATTCAAATTGCATTTAATCCGTAACGATCCTAAAAAATTTACGTCATATTTCATGTAAGATTTCCGAATGAAATGATATAAATTATATTGAAAAATTTATCGTACAAAAATAATAATTAATTTAATTTAAAAAAAACGAGTTAGACTTTTTTTTGGAAGCGTACGTTTGATACATATTTAACTCTTTTCGATATCCGTTTAAACCATTCAATATGAAAACAATGTAGTTTTCGAAACAAACTTTTACATGGCATAAACGATTTGTGGATTCAGATAGCATCTGATCGCAAACGAATTTTTAAAGTTAGGATATTATCGAAATTCTCAAAATACTAGTTTCATGTCATAACTTTTGCTATAGTTGACCACATCGCATGCCATTAATAAGTGAAAAATTAGGCCATAGTACTTCGAAATGGTATTAAGAATGCAATATTTTGACTTCATTTGGCATCTCGATAAGTGCATCAAAGTAGATTGTTAAAAAAAAAAGGGGGGGGGCAAAATTTTGTGGTATCATTGACCCCACATAACCCCATGTAGGTCCGCCCCTGGGTTAAATTATGCCCGCACTGAAAATATTTCCTGGCTCCGCCCTGGTGGGAATGTGGATGGTTAAAGAACACTTATTTGTTTATTTTGGAAAGATAGTTCTCTTCTCTTACTGCAATTTTTCTGTTATTTTTTATTTTAGTTTCTTTCTTTTTTATATTTATTTAATGGAGGATGAATTTCGCTATATTTTCGAAAGGTTGAGGATACATGTGCCCAAAAAAATATTGAGTATATATATAACATTTCGTTGAGAACGAAAAGTGCCATTTTACTCTAAAACTGTTATAGAATTATAGATTGCACTAAACATAACCCAGCTCCAACTGATCGATTTAGAAATGATAAACTTCTGTTTGGTTTTGTATTACTTATTAATTCTAGGGCGTCATAAATTTGTTTAAATATTTTTTTTAAAAAAATGAAGCTTTTTTTTTCTTTTTTTTTTTTTAAAAGTTGACAAGGGTATAATACACATTTCATTGCAAGAGAAATAAAACAAAAAAAAAACAAAACGATGGTAATGATAGGGTTGGTTATGTGATTTTGGATGCCATGTGTGACATTTTATAATGGTACCACTTTCATATAATTATAAACTATATTAAAGAAAGGTATTCCAATAATATTATTTCATTGCAAAATTATAATATTAAATTATTTTTTTATATGTCGTGAATAAAAAAAGTAAAAGAAAAACTCAAAAACACCTCCCAAACTTTGTCAAAATTCACATGTCATCAACAAAAAAATATCCAGGTCAATAACCTCTTTGTCCAATTCCATATTAGCAAGCCTTCAAATCAAAAACAATAAGTACCACGTGTAAGCCTTGAAATGCAACAATTCTTGTAAAAATATTTCTTATTGTATTTTCAGAAGCAAAGTCAATAATTAATTTTTCTTAATCGATATGATTTAACAAATCTTGTTCAACAGATATCAAAGTTAGCACATTCAATCGTCTTGTTACATAGTTGATTGCAAATAAATATTTTAATAATTTTAATTTTGAAAAAGTTTCTTTCGACAAATTTAACAGTAACAAAAATTATCAATAATATTCTAAAGCAATAACTATATTCAAAAGTAATCCAATATTTTTAGATAACTCATTATATAAAAAGTTCTCTTCGATAAGCAATCCAACGGTCAAGTACGCAATGATGAGTGGGAAACACAATAATGTTTAATAACAGTCATTATCTGTTTACTTTTTGTCTTCTTTCATATATTACTAGCCTATTGCCTGTGCATTTTATTTTTAAGGTAATGTTCGCGTATTAAAATATTGCATTGCATTTGTCATTTTGATACCCTTGAAGGGTCCACAAAAAATTGTAAGCACTTCAAACCTTTAAAGAGGGTTGAGATTTATAAAAATATGGCTGGGCTTTGTGAATGGTGGATAGATACATCCACGTTTCCATTGCCAGCTTCCACTTTCAGCTCCCTCCATGTTTCCATATTAATCTGGTGCAGTAACAAAATTGTTTGTATGGTGACACATCAAACTTTCACATGGAAAACAAGAATAATACTTGGCAAACAGTAAAGCTAGAAATTGAGTCATTTTAAATCAAATGTTCAAAAATTATACCCATTTACAATTAAAGAGTACTAAATAATTCTAAATGAAGCCAGATCTAAAACAACTAAGGAGGCTATAAGCCAGATTTCATTTTTAGAACTATTATTAACAAAAATTTAAGTTACAATATCACAATCTATCATCAAGGCATTAAGTAGGGGGATTCGAAATCGAGTTCCAAAGCGAGGTCAGTTGGTGGGGAAATGAATGAATTCCCCAAAAATCCGATCTCATGTCAACCCCTGAATGAGCATTCTAAAGAGATTAGTTGTGTATGCAGACTACTTATTCAAAGCATAATAAAATGAATTTTATCTCTATAGTCTAATGAGTAAGATGATTTTAGATAATAATAAAAGAATTTGAATATAACTCTCATGTGAAGGCAAGTATGATCAGGAAAAAATAATAATAGAAACTTTTACCAAAACAATGAATCATAGTCGGCAAAATCATCTCCCTACTTAACTTAAAATAGAAAAAGAGCAGATTTATTTACTGAGGATGTGTGTCAACATATACAAAGTAAAGGAGCATATGAAACTAAGTATGCAAATTGAAGTGATCAAAAGAGCCACTATTTTTTACTTCAAGGCTCGTAGAGCTTTTAGTACCGAAACATGTACCATTGTTTCTATCGTATTGTCTTGTAAACTATTTCCTTGAGTTCTACTTGCTCAGAAACCATTTTTTTTTTCATTTGACAGTGCTTAATCATTCCACCTTTCAGTTCCATAGACATAAACTACCACGCAACATCGATAAAATTAGATGTGCAAGTGACATTACAATCACATATTATAGAACTACTAAATCATAAGCCTTAGCCTTCTATAACTAGCCAAATCGCACAAGATCCGGAGCAGTTCAATCCAAATAGCATCGCTATTTTAGTAAACATAAACCATATCATATCAAAAGGCGTTCATATATACTGGTCTACACGGATAGATACGTACCATCAGACCTAATCAAGAATGTGATCACTTGAGTACCAAAGAATATTACATCCCTCGTCTACTTCAAAATGAAGTAGTTCGAGAAGAAATATTCTAAGAATTAGTGATTGCAATCCATGAAACATACTATAAAGATATATGATAAGAGACATTTAATATTAATGAAGAACAAACTAACATACCATGATAAACTTTAATCCAGCTCCCATCTTTGCAGGTTTATCAGGATCATAATTTAATACATTATCCACCATGTATGATTGATCATCTCTGTATATAGGATCACCATCATCGTACCTACACAAAAACATTTGTTGGGTAGATTTTAGATTTTTATTTAAAATTAGGGAAAAGATCAATAAGAGAAAATATTGGCTTTAAAAAATCTTACCCGTTAGAAATCGCGTCACAATAGAGATGCAGAACATATACACAGAAACAGAAAAATAAAAATTGTCAGTTGAAAAGGATTAAAACACCCCCCCAAGATCGAGAAATAACAAAATAGAAATATTAGGGCAAATGACTTCTACCCATTTTTTTACCACAGTACGATATATGAAGAAGACAACAGAAATATGCAGGATTAAAAGCTATCTTTAGAATTTTTGTGGAAGCTATGAAAATAATAAGAGCAAGGGTTTCCATCTTAAGTAGCAGCATGTAAAATGAATAGTGCAAAAGGTATATATGCCAAAGATATTTACCTTTAATATCGCGTTCATTTGCAAATCTGTTGAAGAAAGAGCAAAGCAGGAAAGATTTCTAGGGATTCTTTTTCTTCGAGAATAGAAAAGAAATGAAAAGGAAGAGAAGATAAAGATTTAGATAGATAATTTGGAGTCCACTCGTTTTTTTGTTCGCCATCAGTCCACTTGTTTTTTGATTTTCCATTATAATTTGGAGCCTTGTGACCATATGCATTTTCATAGAAATTATGATACCAGTGTTGTAAGTGCTAATCGTCAATTCAAAGCTTATGCTTCCACCCAATGTTCCAGGGGCCTTCAACATATATAGTTAACTGATAAGTGTGTTTTTGCACACTTATTTATATCACAAACATGACTTAAATACAAGTAAAATGATTGAATTGTTACTTAATTTTGTCGAATTCATGCAATGTAGGTGATTCTATGGAAATAGTGGAATTCAGGAGAAAAGAGCCGAAAAAGGACCAAATTGGAGCAAAATAAAAATTCAAGGACCAAATTGCAATTATCTGAAAGTTGATCCAATGAACACATCAAGCAATTGATCAAGCTAAGCACCAATTGGAAGTTATAATGGAACATTGGAGCAACTAGAAACAAGAGAGGAGGTCAAGGAGTGAAGGAATGAAACTTGAGGATCAAAATGACTCAATTTGGAAGTTCACTCTAGTATGCGGTCGCATAGTAGAAAATCTATGCGGTCGCGAGTAACCCTTCAGGGATTAAAAACGCCAAAATTCATATATCTATGCGGTCGCATAGGTTATGCCTATGCGGTCGCATAGGTATAATCTGTGCCCGATTTTTGCAGTTTCCTTATATGATTGCAACTCCTTTGGTAACCTAATTTCGACGGATTTAAATAGCAACAAACGTCTAGAAGCTGACACGAACGAATTGGGACGCAAAAACGTTCATTTTGGAGAGGATTTGAAGGCAAAAACAATGATTGACGCGAAAATTTACAAGATTTCTTCAAGATTTGATAACCCGATGATATATTTTATTCAAAACTTGATAGATTTTATTATTTTTATCATGATAGGCTAGATTTCTGTAACTAGGTGATCGATGAACCATGTAATTATTATTAAACCTGTTATTTCATGACTTTGAATTCATAGTTCGATGGGATTATTTGAATGAATTATATTTATTTATTTGTTTCCACAATTCATGTGCACTTAATTTGTGTGAATTTGGTGGTTTAATTCTGAATTTGAGGAAATTGGATTAAACTCGACATATATAATTCATCATAGGGTCCGATAGGGGATAGAAATATACCCCTATGCCCTATGTAAATCTTTAATTGCTCACAAAAGAAAATACACGCGTTCTTGTATAATTGCATCCGTCATAGAAATATAGGCTGGTGATTTATGAGAATAGGTTCAATATATCTCGAGAGAGAGTATTGAATAGATTTAGGAGTATTGATTTGTCAAATTCTCATTGGATTATCAAAATTGTGAAATTAGGGTTTACTTAATAATTATTTGGGGATTCGTGATCCTAGTGCATTCGTTTTACATAGATTTTCATAAATTGACAATACATTTCATTTATTTTCATAACATTTCGTAATTGAGTCATTCGTTAAGTGAATTTGAGTAATTAGGGTTTAATTTGAAATTAGGGTTCTTCAATTTGGGGATTTCTCTCAAAATTAGGGCTTTTAATTCTAAAATTCATCTTAAGTCAATTAGTTTCGGTTAAGGCTAAAATAAATAAAATTGAACTACTCTTTCTCTGTGGGACGATACTCGGACTTCTAAAGTCCACTTTATTACTTGTCACGACCCGTACACTTGCGGTAATTTAAATCGAAAGAAATATTTCGTGAACAAGTTTTTGACGCCGTTGTCGGGGATTGAGTTTAGTTTAATTTTATTTCGTGAGGTACTAATTCGAAATTCAATTTTTTTAATTTGCTAGTATAATTTTGTTTTGAATTTTTATTTTAGGTCATTATCTTTTAGTTTTGTTTTAGTTATTTAAATTGTTAAAACCTCAGTGCTCGCTCTGGTTTATTTATCAGATTTGCATGTCACGATTGCCTGGAGGAGAATTGATTCCAGCTGATCCTGAAATCGAGCGTACCTTTCACAGACGACAAAGAAACCACCGCAAAGCACCAGTACAAATGGCCAATGAAGTAAACAATCCCATGATTCATGCTAACGAAGGAGAGGCAACGGATGAGGGGAATGAGATTCTGCGGGATTTCTTGACTCCTCAAGTGATTCAATGCCAGTCCAGCATAGTGTATCCACCGTTTGGGCAACCTAATTTTCAGTTGAAGACCAATGTGATACAGCTGTTTCAAAATGGACACCAATTTTATGGCAAAGCTGAGGAGAACCCACACACACACGTATCTCGCTTTTTGGATATGTGTCAACATTTCAGATACCAAGGAATTTCGGATGACGCTATTAGATTGAGGCTTTTTCCACATACTTTACGAGACAGAGCACTTGAATGGTTGGATTCACTTCCGGTCGCAAGTATCACTACATGGAATGAGTTGGCACATAAATTCTGCACAAAGTTTTTCTCCCCAGCTAAGATAACAAAGCTGAGACATGACATATCAGTGTTCAGTCAAGGAGAAACCGAATCATTTGATGAAGCTTGGAACCGGTTTAAAAACATGCTTCGGAAGTGCCCTCAACACGATTTTGACAAAAAGACCCAAATCCGATTCTTCTATACAGGACTACTTCCTTATCACAAGAGCATGGTGAATTCAGCATCAGATAGCTCAATATCCACACGAACAGTTGATGGGGCATTGGAATTATTCGAGAGAATGGCTACCACATCAGCCATGTGGTCTTCTGAGAGGGCGATCCCAAGGAAAACTCCAGGTGTCTACGAAGTGGATGCTTATTCAGCAATATCAGCAAAAATAGATTCTCTATACCACAAGGTGGAAAGCATATCACAAGCAGCACAAGTTAAGAAGAACAATTGTGAAGAATGTGGAATTGAACATAAGACATCAGAATGCCCTATACTAATGCAAGAAATTGAGCAAGCAGACTATGCACAGTGGGGACAACGCCAGCAACAAAATCAATATGGGGAGACTTTCAATCCCAGTTGGAAGAAGCATCCCAACTTCTCTTCGAGCGGCCAAAATCAGAACAAGCCACATGGACAATTTCAACAACAAGAGAAGAGGCCTCAACTGGAGGATGTGATAGCCACACCTCAAAATCAAAATGCAGCCATCAAAAATTTGGAAACTCAGGTGGGGCAATTAGCCATTGCATTAACTGGCAGAACGCCAGGTAACTTGCCAAGTAATACAGAGATCAACCCTAAGGAGCAAGCTAAGGCTATTACAACTCGAAGTGGAGTGCAATTACCTGAAATCCATGTAAAGAGACCAAGTGCGACTTTAGAGACGTCCCCCTTGCTGAAGATGAGATTGCTGTAAAGGAATCAACTCCAAGGGAAGATTTAGAAAAATCAAAGGATAAGGCCAAGAGCACAGTCAACCCGTACGAGCCTCCGATTCCCTTTCCACAGCGGTTGAAGAAGCAAAAAATGGAGCAACAATATAAAAAATTCCTAGAAGTCTTCAAAAAGCTCCATATCAACATCCCGCTAGCAGATGCACTATTTCAAATGCCTAGCTACGCGAAGTTTCTTAAGGATATTATCTCAAATAAACGCAAGCTGGAGGACCATGAGACAGTAATGCTTACAGAGGAATGCAGTGCCAAAATCCAAAATAAGCTCCCACCAAAACTGAAAGATCCAGGGAGTTTTACTGTTCCTTGCACTATTGGTGAATTTTATTTCGATAAAGCATTATGTGACATTGGTGCAAGTATTAATTTAATGCCTCTGTCTGTTTTTAGGAAACTTGGCTTGGGGGAAGCTAAAGCCACTACTGTGACACTTCAGCTAGCAGATAGATCACTGACACACCCCAAAGGGATAATTGAAGATGTACTCATCAAGGTCGAAAAGTTCATATTCCCAGCGGGCTTTCTCATTTTGGACATGGAAGAAGATAAGGACGTCCCATTGATACTTGGCAGACCATTCCTGGCAACAGGAAGAGCACTCATTGATGTTCAAAGGGGGCGGTTGATTTTGAGATTGGGCGAGGAGCAGGTGTCTTTCAATGTATTTAAAGCCATGAAAATGCCAACAGAATCAGACAGCTGTTACCAAGTTGACATTATTAATAAAGCAGTGCAGGAAACATTCCTACTTCACGGCCCATCTGACGCCTATGAGACATGCATTGCACAATCCCAATCAGTTCAGTCGAATTCTTTTGAAGTTGAAACATGTGCAAGATTTTTGGAAACAAACCCACCATGCGCCCGAACGAAACACTTCGAGGAACTGGGGACAGGAAATAAAAAGCCACTACCTTCCATTTAACAGCCGCCAGTTTTAGAACTCAAACAACTACCGCCACATCTCAGATATGCTTATTTAGGAGAGTCAGATACACTTCCAGTAATCATTTCGAACACAGTCAGTGAGATGGAGGAGGAAAAACTGCTCAGGGTACTTAGAGAGAACAAGATGGCGATTGGTTGGACAATAGCTGACATTAAAGGAATCAGTCCTTCCCTGTGTATGCATAATATTTTAGTGGAGGAAAATTGCAAGCCTAGCATAGAAAGTCAGAAAAGATTGAACCAAAACATGAAGGAAGTGGTCAGGGCAGAGATACTGAAGTTATTGGATGCAGGAATTATCTACCCAATTTCGGATAGTGTATGAATCAGCCCTGTTCAAGTGGTACCGAAAAAATGAGGAATCACAGTGGTGAAAAATGAGAAGAATGAACTAATTCCCACTAGAACAGTTACGGGTTGGAGAGTTTGCATTGACTATCGCAAACTCAATGCAACTACACGAAAGAATCACTTCCCACTCCCATTCATGATCAGATATTGGAGAGGTTGGCGGACATTCACACTACTGCTTTCTTGATGGATACTCGGGCTATAATCAAATACATGTCGCACCAGAGGATCAGGAGAAGACCAATTTCACTTGCCCCTACGGTACTTTTGCTTATCGTAGGATGCCTTTTGGTCTTTGCAACGCTCCAGCCACATTTCAGAGGTGTATGATGGCAATATTCTCTGATATGATTGAAAGGTTTATCGAGGTTTTCATGGACAACTTCTCAGTATTTGGATCTTCATTTGATGAATGTCTAAACCACTTGAATTTGGTCTTACAGAGATGCAAGGAGACTAACCTGGTTTTAAATTGGGAAAAATGTCACTTTATGGTGCAGGAAGGCATTGTACTTGGGCATAGGATATCGGCAAAAGGAATTGAGGTAGACAAGGTAAAAATTCAAGTGATTGAGAAATTTCCACCGCCTACATCAGTTAAAGGAGTTCGCAGTTTTTTAGGGCATGCTGGGTTCTGCCGGAGGTTTATAAAAGATTTCTCGAAGATCACTAAACCTTTGTGCAATTTGCTAATGAAAAATGTAACCTTTGAGTTCACTGAGGATTGTCTCACAACCTTCAACACTTTAAAGGAAAAGCTTACGACAACACCAGTAATTGTAGCACCAGACTGGGAATTGCCTTTTGAATTGATGTGTGATGCAAGTGATCACGCTGTAGGTGCAGTATTGGGACAACAAAGGAACAAGATTTTTCATGTGATCTACTATGCAAATAGAACTCTAAATGATGCACAAATAAATTATGCAACCACTGAAAAGGAGCTATTGGTTGTGGTATTTGCATTCGACAAATTCAGGCCATACCTCGTCGGGTCTAAAGTCATCGTCTATACTGATCATGCTGCATTGAAGTATCTGCTCAAAAAGAAGGATGCAAAGTCGAGATTAATTCGTTGGTTGCTATTATTGCAAGAATTTGATATTGAGATACGCGACAAGAAGGGCACCAAAAATGTAGTAGCAGATCACCTATCCCGACTAGAACCTGGGGAGACGGAAGATTTAGTGGATATAAATGAGATCTTCCCGGATGAACAGATGTTGAGAGTGGATGAAGCACCTTGGTACTCAGATATTGTCTATTACTTGGCCAGTTCCATTCCACCGCCTGACTGCTCCAGTCACCAAAGAAAAAAATTCTTCGCCGAGTTAAAATACTATTTCTGGGAGGATCCAATTCTCTATAGACGAGGAGTTGATCAGATATTGAGGAGGTGCGTACCTGAAGAAGAAGTACATGAGATTTTCGAGCACTGTCACTCATCCGCATATGCAGGACACTTTGGAGCTTCAAAAACAGCTGCAAAGATTCTACAATCCGAGTTCTACTGGCCTACACTGTTTAGAGACACATTTGAGTTTGTTAAGAGGTGTGACCGATGCCAACGCACTGGGAATATTTCGAGGAGGAATGAAATGCCACTAAACAACATTTTGGAAGTGGAAATATTTGATGTTTGGGGAATTGACTTCATGGGACCTTTCCCCCCTTCATTCTCAAATCAATATATTTTGGTAGCAGTGGATTACGTATCAAAATGGGTGAAAGCAGTTGCATTGCCAACAAATGACTCAAAGGCAGTAATTGGGTTTCTGAAGAAATATATTTTCACTCGATATGGCACACCGCGAGCTATAATCAGTGACGGGGGTAAACACTTTTGTAATCGCCAGTTTGAGCAGCTGTTAAATAAATATGGTGTTAAACACTGTGTCGCTACCCCATATCATCCACAAACTAGCGGGCAAGTTGAAGTATCTAATCGACAGTTGAAAAGAATACTCGAAGTCACAGTGAACTCATCTAGAAAAGACTGGTCTAAAAAGCTAGACGATGCATTGTGGGCTTACAGAATAGCATTCAAGACACCGATAGGCATGTCTCCATATCGCCTAGTTTTTGGAAAAGCATGCCATCTGCCATTAGAAATGGAGCACCGGGCATATTGGGCTATGAAACAGTTAAATATGGACTTGAATGCCGTCGGTGAAAAGCGTATACTGCAACTAAATGAGTTGGATGAATTTATAATGGAGGCTTATGAAAATGCAAAACTTTACAAGGAGCGAACCAAGAAGTGGCATGATATGCACATTCAGAGGCGAGTATTCGAAGTGGGGCAGCAAGTACTACTGTATAACTCGAGACTCAAGCTATTCGCAGGAAAACTACGATCACGGTGGTCGGGTCCCTACACAGTTACCAAAGTCCTACCAAATGGGGCTATACAAGTGAACCATGAGAATAAGGGTACCTTCACTGTTAATGGGCAAAGGTTGAAACACTACTGGGACGGTGACTTCTCTAACCAAAAGTCAACCATTCAACTTGAGACGCCAGAATGAAGCAGCCGCAGAAAAGTCGAGCTATCGACTATAACTTAGCACTGGGTGGGAGGCAACCCATTGTATCCTTTTTATCTATTTATTTACTTTATTATGCTTTCTGCATTAGATTAGGAAGTTTATTTTCAAATTCATTTAGTATTTTGTTATGTGGTCATCGATCATCTAGGCATGTTAAAAGAGTCCAAGCACTATTCACACGAGTCCTTAAGTATCACACACAAGTTCGGGTAGTTGAGTGTGAAATTCACGCATTTCGAGGCAAATTATGTTTTCTAAATTTCACACGTCAATATTTTAAAAGTATGTCTTTGAAAAACTGGGGGCGTTGAGAGCCAGGTCATTTAAAATAAAAAAAAATTTGGACAAAAATTGGATTTTTGGGGAAAGAAGCATTGTTTTATTTTATTTCTTTTAAAAAAAAATGTCTATGCGGTCGCATAGACACCAACCGAAGGAAAAAATTATAAAAAAATATAACTATGCGACCGCATAGATTTTAACTATGCGGCCGCATATAAGTGGTTCGGCTATGGTTAAAGCCATGACCGATTCACTCTTCAAACACACTTCTTCGACATTTTTAGGGCCCGGAACCCCCATTTCACACATAAGCCCACGAAATTCATAATCACCTCGGCATAAATTCATCAAGGCAAGCATCCATTTCAAGCACATCATCTTGAAGGTATGACTTTTGACAATCTACTTCATTATGCCTCGTTTGTTTAGGTCATTTTCGATTTGTTTTTCTGCAATTTGAGGTGATTGGGGCGTAGATGGTGGATGGAGTGTACTATTTGAAATTCAATTGTGTTATGGGTTAATTCGAATTTTGAAGTATTGGGTTTTATATGGACTTCTAAAGAATGCATGCTAAGTGTTTGATACATTGCCACATTGATAATTTGTGGGCATTTTGGTACATGTTGCATTGACTTTATTTGATTGATGAATGTGTATGAGATTGGTAATTGATTTTTGAATGGGGAACCATGTGACATAGTAATTTTTGGCAAATGTATGAAGATTTCATAATGCCCACAACTTGTTCGATAAAACGCCCATTTTTTGTAATCTAATACAATTCTGAATATCTAGCATGGCATATGACTATTAGATGAATGGAGTAACTCATTGTGATGTATCACCAACCAATGTGACTTAGACAACATCAACACACATGCACACAAAATAGCTAAGTCATTGCATGTCACAGCAGCTCACGTCCCTTATTTTACACTACCATTTGACACACCAAACGAACTCCGATTGAGCTGAAATTTGGGTATGTGTTAGACCTCATTGCATACTTTCATATGCCCAGAGGTTGCCCGGGACAATCTTGATAATTCTCGATGGTGCCCGGGGCCGAAGGTGTACACTCAATTATGACTCCAACCCTTTCACTATGAGCATGTTCACCCAAATTTTCTTAGTTTTCGTATGGGCTATACATTTATACTATTCTAATCATCATACGTTGTTCATTACACACCGTGGTAGTATACATGCATATTGAAACAAGTTTGGGGGATTTGTGAATTACGTGCTTTCCATTTCATGCGATTTCTCGCTGTACAACAAGATGTTTAATGCTAGCTATTTTCCAACTTTGTAGAATGCCACCAAAACGAACTTCAAAAGGGAAAGAAAAGGTTGGCTCATCATCAAGCACAGCACGTACTCGAGTGCTTGAAGGAGGGATACAGAGATTTTTGACTTCCGAGGTAGCAGCCCGATATGAAAATATAGTGAGTCGATGGACAGTGACACCAGAGCGGGCTGTTAAATTGGAAGACTTTCCTGATTTCGAGCTGACCACTTTGGTACATATCTGTGGATGGGGTAAAGTAGTGGAGCAGCCACATTGGATTTATGAATTGTTGGTAGGGGAATTTTACGCCAACTTCAATACAGAAATTGACATACCAGGGTCCGACCACCTGCATCAGACTTGGGTCAGGGGAAAATGGATCACATTCTCACCCGAGGTTATTCAAGACTACTACTAGCTCACGTGGGACAACATAACCCCTATCCCATGTGATTTCAATTGGCATGAAGTGGCGGAGATCTTATTGGGGCGACAAAATGCATGGCCACTCCCCACCACCGAGTGGCACCAAATTGAGCTGACACCGTCTATAGCCATCCTGTGGCTGTTTATGTGCCACAACATTGAGCCGACCTCTCACAGGACCACATTCACAGATCCCACAGCTGGATTCCTTTATCACTTGGTGCGAGGTAATAATGTTGATCTTGCCACTCTCTGCTATAATCAGATCCATCATGTGGGTACCTTGGGAGACAGACACAGCTCAATAATCTTTCCAAGCCTCATCTCCGGAATATGCATCGCTGCTGGTATAAACATTGCATCCGGAGAAGTGGCTGCCAAACCCAGCCCCATCATAAAACGCAATACCTTGGAGGCTCAAGATAGAGCCAGGATAAAGCACTGGGAAAAGCAAGAAATTAAACGGCGCAGACAGTAGGAAGAGCAAGGTCACGAGCACGCAGAGCAAAAGTGCCTCAAGCTCCACCACCACAGGTTGTGATAAATGCACAGTTGTGGCGCCAGATTTTCACCACCACCACGGGAACCAGCCGAGACGTACAGAGTCTCCAGCAGGCTATGGGGACTTTGATGACTGAGATGCATATAGCCCACCGTAACATCCGCATTTCCACTGTATGTCACGTGCTGCTCGCCAGGATGCCCAGGCAGCTAGGAGGGAGATGAAAACTATGAACGGTCTACTCAATGTGTATGTGGACAGGGTGGATGGCATCCAGATGAGGGTAAATGAAACTTGGGAGCGTCTGGGCCGTTTGGAAATACGTGTTGAGGGAGTCCATGATGAAATGACACAGCATCAGCACTGATGAGAGAGATCTTGGCGCGCCTACCTCCACCTCCAGCTGATGGTACTGCAAGTTCTAACTTCCCATCGCAGCCTCCGTATTGATCAGGGGAGTATCGTTTGCCTCATTTGTACTCATTTTCTTTAAATTCTGCCATCTAAACTTTAATTTTCGCATTGAGGACAATGTCTTGTATAAGTTTGGGGGACAGTGGCATAATTTGAAAAAGACATTCGGCATGTAATTAATTGCATTTCCACAATCCAGATTTAATTTGACTAATTGTTGCATGATGCATGCTTGTGAGTGAATATTGATTATGGGTTATGTATGCTTGTGTGAGCTTAATCGCCTTGCCGGCTATAATGTTACTATTGGATTGGTATATTTCAAAACTTTGGAGTCGGTGTTAATTAGGCCAACTAATACTTGCTGATGTAATACTTGACATTCTTTATGCACGCTATTCATGCTTTACATGTTAGGTAAGTGATTGGGGTTTTGAGCATAAAGTAGGAAAATAATTATAACCCTCTATTGAATTAACCTGTAAACTACCTTAAGACAGTTTGGTGATAGTTGAGCTATTATAGGAGAACATTGAGATAAGTGAGGCTCCGTGCATAAATTATTGTGTGGATTGCCTAGACCAGTGAGATGAAGAGTAGGTGAAAATCTTAAATTGAGGGTTGGTTTTGGATACCAGATGTCTAGAAAAATAAGGGCATAAACTTAATTTGTGAGAATAAGACACTTCTTTTCATGCCTTTATGACTCGAGCAAGTAAGCCTGTAAGGATATTTCAAAATCTGGTGCCCTAAGGTCAACTGATCTGGAAGTCACCGGCCCAAAGCTCGATACATGGGTCATATAGAAAGCAAGAGGTAAAGAGGTTAACAAAAAGTCATCTGATTGAGCCTTTATAACTCGGGTGAATAAGCCTTCAATGGTTTAAAACCTGGTGCCCTAAAGCTAACTGGTTTGGGAGTCACCGGCCTAAAGCTCGTTACATGGGTTATATAGAAAGCAAATGAGAAGATGATAATAAAAAAAATCAGAAAACCAGAGAAAAGTGAGAAAAACAAAAAGAGACAATAACAAGAAGAAAAGCCCTTGAACATTTGGTGGAAGAAACTATACATTTGAGGCGAGGCAAGTAATCTAATTTAATCTTGAGTGTCGAAGCAATCAAAACTAGGAGAACCTTCACTTGTTGACATGTGAACTTGTGATAGTGAGATTAATCCAAACTACGAGAGGGTGAGAACTATAGCTAGGTAAACTCATAATTTTTAAACACAACCCCGAGATAATTGAGTGAAAAGAATAAGTTTGGGGGTTGTATATCTCTCGAGCGAGTAAGGAGACATTTAACCACTTGAGGTCGGGACTCAAACTCATTATGAACTTGATATGTTAGCATGAATCCACACACACACGTCAAGTATGCACTTAACAGGTAAAGGTTGATGTCATTTTGCACTGATAAATTTTCATAAAATCAATTACTTAGTCCAATCCTGAGCCAAGGCAAGGTGTTAAGACATGTTTGTTCAGAATTATATCACTATCTTATTTGAGGACAAACAATAGTTCAAGTTTGGGGGGTTTGATAAGTGTGTTTTTGCACACTTATTTACATCACAAACATGACTTAAATACAAGTAAAATGATTGAATTGTTACTTAATTTTGTCAAATTCATGCAATGTAGGTGATTCTATGGAAATAGTGGAATTCAGGAGAAAAGAGTCGAAAAAGGACCAAATTGGAGCAAAATGAAAATTCAGGGACCAAATTGCAATTATCTAAAAGTTGATCCGATGAACACATCAAGCAATTGATCAAGCTAAGCACCAATTGAACGTTATAATGGAACATTGGAGCAACTAGAAACAAGAGATGAGGTCAATGAGTGAAGGAATGAAACTTGAGGATCAAAATAACTCAATTTGGAAGTTCACTCTACTATGCGGTTGCATAGTAGAAAATCTATGCGGTCGCGAGTAACCCTCCAGGGATTAAAAACGCCAAAATCCATATACCTATGCGACCGCATAGGCATAATCTGTGCCCGATTTTTGCAGTTTCCTTATAAGATTGCAACTCCTTTGGTAACCTAATTTCGACGGGTTTAAATAGCAACAAACGTCCAGAAGCCGACACGAACGAATTGGGACGCAAAAACGTTCATTTTGGAGAGGATTTGAAGGCAAGAACAAGGATTGAAGCGAAAATTTACAAGATTTCTTCAAGATTTGATAATCCGATGATGTATTTTATTCAAAATTTGATAGATTTTGTTATTTTTATCATGATAGGCTAGATTTCTGTAACTAGGTGATCGATGAACCAAGTAATTATTATTAAACCTGTTATTTCATGACTTTGAATTCATAGTTCGATGGGATTATTTGAATGAATTATATTGATTTATTTGTTTCTACAATTAATGTGCACTTAATTTGTGTAAATTTGGTGGTTTAATTCTTTGAGGAAATTGGATTAAACTCGACATATATAATTCATCATAGGGTCCGATAGGGGATAGAAATATACCCCTATGCCCTATGTAAATCTTTAATTGCTCACAAAAGAAAATACATGCGTTCTTATATAATTGCATCCGTCATAGAAATATAGGCTGGTGATTTATGAGAATAGATTCAATACATTTCGAGAGAGAGTATTGAATAGATTTAGGAGTATTGATTTGTCAAATTCTCATTGGATTATCAAAATTGTGAAATTAGGATTTACTTAATAATTATTTGGGGATTCGTGATCCTAGTGCATTCGTTTTACATAGATTTTCATAAATTGACAATACATTTCATTTATTTTCATAACATTTCGTAATTGAGTCATTCGTTAAGTGAATTTGAGTAATTAGGGTTTAATTTGAAATTAGGGTTCTTCAATTTGGGGATTTCTCTCAAAATTAGGGCTTTTAATTCTAAATTCATCTTAAGTCAATTAGTTTCGGTTAAGGCTAAAATAAATAAAATTGAACTACTCTTTCTCTGTGGGACGATACTCGGATTTCTAAAGTCCACTTTATTACTTGTCACGACCCGTACACTTGCGGTAATTTAAATCGAAAGAAATATTTCGTGAACATTAACCTACAAATTAACATAGAATTCTTATATTTTGTTAAATTAATACCCCATTTAAGAGGTAATGGATAATATATATACAGTAGAACGATAGCCAACGAAGGGACAAAAAATCAAACAATTAAATTATACTCCCTAACAATACCTCATTGAAGAGAATGTGTCTGTTTTTGTTAAGAAAATCCAAAAGCTCAATGAAAAAGTTTCAATAGTAAAATTATATAAATGAGAAGAATACTAATCCAGCTAACGTACTCAAATTCAACAGAATGAATCAGCATACTAAAGAAATTTTAAAACAAATATAAAAATACATTACAACAAAATTGGCACGTATAACTGTCAAAGGATGAACAGAAGATTATAAAATACAGAGATGGAGGGCCAAGTGTGAGCAAAATCAGCAGAATCCTTACACCCTTTGGGAAGCATAGGTAAAATTATCAATCAAGCTGGAATTTTGATTGTTTAAAAGAACACCAGCATACATTCTAGTTAACATTCATATGGTCAATAGGGTAGACTACAATGAAACCATTAAGTATATGAGAATGAGATAAGGATCTCAACATAATTGACCTTATTAGCACTTTCCTGTCAGCTAAGAATTTATCTTTCAACCTTTTAAGCGGCTCGCTGAAATTTTTCAATTTTTTGAAGGAGAAATGAACAACATCAGTCATTTGTTAGTCTTTAAACTGGAGCCCATATTAATTACTAACTTTTTAATGATTAAAAATGAATTCATATATAACGAAACAGTTAACCATTTCAAACATTGAATTAAACTAAAGAGTGTAGGGGAGTATTTGAAAAATTCTATAAAATAGGATCTAAATAGATATGGCACTTCAGGTGCATTTACCCAAGTATGGTGAGCTATAAGGTAACGTACTAAGTTGAAAGGCTTAGTTTGTTTTAAATGTCAATCATACAGATAAAATGAGAAATCACTTTTGCTCCTCTATTGTTATTTTATCTCATTTTTTACTTCCAATACAAATAAACTATATACTGAAAAGAAAC